TTTTGATATGGGCCAAGTGACCTTACAGCTCTTTTCCATCTCTAGCTTCTGTATGCTTTTGGTTTAGGGAACTGTGGTAACTGCCAGCATCTGCTTCTATCTGCTTGGGAGTTGGTTTCATTTTGGGTTTGCATATCAACTATTATGCTCTGCCTGTGACTTTTAATTCCAAATATCAATCTCCGTACTAAATCATTGCCAAGTAACCTTCAATTTTTCTTTTCCACGCTGCCCATCTAACCACCAGCTGTGAGCACACAGCTTCTGCCTGCATGCCGTCAGAATGAGTCTGAGCTGCTCAAACCTCAACTCCAGCCTGAACGTGAATTTTTGTCTCTGCAGGAATATCAGGGGGAAAAAAAAAAGTCACCAGGGCTACCAGTTCCCATTATTGTTTGAATTTATATTTTTAGTTCAACTTCTTTTCTCCCTGGAGGTTTTGATTCCACCAATTTTTGTTTGGGTTTGATTGGGCTTGCTTTTTTTTATTGCTCTCCCTCTTCTCATTTTGTTTTCTCCATTCTTTCATTGGAGGCAATGAGCCGTCCAGCGGTCGGAACTCCCCTGTCCCCTACCGGCCCGACAGCCGCCCTCTCACTCCAACTTACGCTCAGGCCCCTAAACATTTCCATGTTCCAGGTAGGAGTTGGCACTGTATGTGTCTCTGTGTCCTGTCACAGTGTAGAATGTAGCCTTTGTAACTTTTGTCTTGTCTCCATCGTTTCACGCTGTTTGCCATGAGGTGCACCCGCAGGGTTTGGAACTGCTCCTGTACTTGCTGAGAGGGGCAGTGTGTTAAGAAATGGAGGGGGAGTTTCACTGTGATTTTTACCTATTCTGTTGGTCAGGTGTTTTACTGTTAGAATGCCTTGGTTTTCCAGGTCTGTTGATGGCCATGAGCTGGATATGAGCTATGTAGGGCTTGATTTTTCTCACAGTTGCACCAGCTGAACACCAGCATAACTCTGCTGACTTTGGAGGAGGTGGTTTTGATTCACAGTGGCAGGCAGAACAGAGTTGACCAGTGAGCCATTACGGATGTTGTTCATTCACGTTGCTGTGACTTGTTTCAGTCTTGAACCAAGCAGTTCTAGTTTAGCATTCCGTTCTTTTTAAAGCAGATGAGGATGTTTCTTTACTTGTTTTGTGCAAATGGTTTGGTGTCCTCAGAGAGACCTGCAGATCCACAAGGATATGTATGCCTCAGGATGTCCTCTCTGTAAAGGGCAGTCTCTGTTGTAACGTGAGCTGCACAGTTCTTCCAGCCTCGGAGAAGCTCATCTGTCTTGGATTTTGGTGAGATGAAGGTGGTGTGTCCCTAGTGTTGTTGACATGCATCTTCTGACTGCATCAGCGCTAGCTGAAAGCCTTATTCTATCCAGTTATTCTCCAGGTCCCTTTCAGTCTGGTATCCCTTTGCACTGCCAGAGGTTACTGCTCCTCGTCCTTTCCTCAGATCTGGCAGATAAACTGTTTGAGGGAACTTCTTTTTCAGTCAGTGTGACCTGGCTTGGCTGAGGTAGGTTGTTAGAACTGTTTAAGGCTAACCTGGCTCACTTTGGCTTGCGTAAGCTAAAGCGCACTTACATGAGTAGCTCTCAGTAATAATTTCTAACGTGGTGGGAGAGCTGTCCTCTTCAGCTGGTGCAGTGCAGCCACAGAAGGAGCTGGGTTCCTATCCTTCTTACAGCTTTCTGGTGTAGATGTGCGCAAAAGTACTGCATGACTACCCTCATAATTTTTGTACGTATTTGCTGGTCAAGTGGCCGTAACAGATCACTAACAAGAATGAAATACCTTAGTGTCTTTGTGTGCAATGAATTTGCCTGTTTAGTCAAGCATGTAGGGTTCTGCAGAGTAAGATTTGCCTCTGTCTCAATAGATTTTTAGGGTTAGCTTTCCTTAATGCCAAAGGTTGTCTCCTGTAACACTTCAACTGGATCTGTGATACACAGCATGTATTTCTAAAATGTTTTTTCATCTTTCATTCTAATGTAACTGAAAACTTTTTTCAGGCAGTATGAAGTAGCAAAATGGGTTTCTGACATTAATTTTCTAGTTCCCAGTAGCTCATTCTGGTCTTCTAATAAGATTTTGACAGATTTTTGTACTGTAGCACTGATTTTGGATTAACTTTTGTATTTGTAGCTGTGCCAAACACATGAAGTGTTGGCTTGGGTGGGAAGGTAGTTCAGAACAAACTAGCTCCTCTCTTAGATTATTATTTGTAACAATATATCTTTTAGACATGCTGTATATTTACTGCATTAGAGTCCTGAGAAGTGTTTTTATTCTGCTTTACATTGATAGTATGCAATGTGGTGGGCCTTACATTAAAAAAAAATTACAAAAAAGAAATAAAATCTATCCTTGTGGATTTGAGAATTAGTAGTACATCGGTTTACACCGCATAAAGCACCCCTTTGACTCACTGAAGTGTAGCTGTTGTTGACTGTTCAAACCAGTGTATTAGGCAGCTGTTTTGTTCTCTGGGTTTTCAAGTGAATTGTAGGCTCACTGCATTCTCCTCTGCTCAATCCAGCCAGTCAGTTGGAAAGAAAATTGAGCTGTTGTGACTGAAGCGCAATTTTCCACAAAAGTTATTTGGGGTGGTTTTCCCCAAGTGGCTTGTATCTTCACCATTGAAGTATCTTGCTTGTTTGCACTTCTTCTGTAACTTTTATCCCACTGATAATCTTCTGAATGTTTAAAATGAATGATTCATGACTTGGATGCATTCACATGTTACAGAATCAGCTCTAAAGGACTTCATACCACATGTCTTTGACTTTTCACTTGTTCTTATGTTTTCTTTTCTTTAAATAATCTGATTTTGTATAATACTCGAAGTAGCTTTCTGGGTTTTTCTTGTGCTACGTCCTTGATTTGGTCTGTCTATTGTTTTAGTGTTCGAGTTATCTTTACCTACAACTGAAGTAGTTTTCATATTCCCATTTTTCTGTTTCTCAATTTCGCAGATCAAGGTGTCAACATTTACAGAAAACCGCCAATCTACAAACAACATGGTAAATGATCTTTCCCTTTTTATTTCAAAAGTGTCAACTAAAAAAAAGAGTATCAACTAAATTAAAAGGCATGCAGACTAGTGAAAAGCATTCAGTGTTTACTTTGTAAGCATTAAAAATGAGTAGTCCAAGCTTGAAACAGCTGTGATTGCATGTCCTGCTGAGTGATTATGTTTTAAAGCATGTTCTTTCATTTGGATCATATGGTTTAAATCTTGGACACGTTGATATTAATGGCAAAATTGCCATTAACTGGGATTTTGCTGTCTCTCTAGCATTATGATGCTTTCCCGTATTTCACTTCTTTAAGTTTATATTTTCAGAATACAGGTACTGATCATGTTAAAATGGATTAACAACAGACTGTTCTCTGACAGGGACTTCATGGAGTATCCTTGTTTTAAACAGACAAAGTCCAATAATTTATTTCAACAGCAAAGATGGAGATGTTATTGTCAGACTGGAATTCCAAATGTACCTGTGGCTTTAAATAAGAATCCTGAATTACTGAATATAATATAGGTGACTTATCACTGACAGGGCTAATTTGATTCTCAAGCCCTGTGATGTAGCTCAGGTAGTATGCTGTACTTGTTTTTCCAGGTGTTTGGATTCTGAGTTGGACAGCAGAGTTAGTGCTCTAATCTTTCCGGTGTAGATGTCATTATAGCAAGTCTGAAGTAACAATGATGGCAGAAGCCCACTGCGTTGCCAGTCTTTAGTACTGCAGAGCAAGGTCCTGGTTAGAATGGAGTGTGTTCACTCTTCCCTTCTGCTGTGAATAGAAAACTTTGAATAGGAGATTATTTTTATGTAATCTGGTGAAAGACAGGTGACTCCACTTTTTAAAGACTTTGCGTTTGTATCCCTTTGCAGACCCTTTGTCCAATGAAATATATTTGGGGCTAACTAGCAAATTCGCAGTACTCTACCGGGTTTAGAACAGTTGGCTGAGAGCCATCGAGCTGAGATGATGAGGAAAGCTCGGGAAGTCCACTGTGTAGTCAGGAGGGAGCATTGCAAATAACACTGCTGTGGTTTTACATCAGGGTTTTTTCGTCTTTCGTTTTTAAGTTTCAAACCATATGCTCATTTTGGAAAAAGTCTTAACATTATTTTTGTTTATTTTTATGGTTTTAATGTTTCTCCTCACCTCCCATTAACATGTGAATGTTTAACCACTGACATCACCAATTCTATGTAAGTACTGTTTGAAGTCATGCTTTTATAAACTCTGACCAGCTTCCTCCATACCTGCAATTATGCTTAGAGTTTCCTGATCATAAAATGCTCAGAATTCCCAATGATATCTAATAGTGACATTCCTAAACTACCCTGAACATGTTGGATGAGCAACACAATGCTTCACTTCATTAACAGATGTCTTTCTGTTTAAAAAAAAAGAGAAAAGGAAAAAAAAGTCCAGTATTCTTGCTTCTGATACAATATCTTCATATAAGAGAAGGTGATTTGAGCTAACAGTTTGCAGATAAGAGGTAGTTAAGGCTGGTTTTTATGTAAACTGAATCCTGTTGGATTTTTTTTTTTTTTTAATGTCAAGAAGTGAAAGCCGTAATGCACATCCTCACATGCTTTTAAGAGCCTTTGGCTTAGACTGGAATCTTAAGTGGATGCCCCACTGCTGAGATATTTTATTGGTGAGGTTCATGTCACTGCAAGTACCTTTCCCTGCCAAGTTGATCTGAATGGAGTTTAGTATTTATTAATAAATTCACATCTGCTTTTACTACTACTGCATGCTAATAAGCAAGGGCATGTAGCAGAAAAAATCCACTGGTTAAATAAATGTATTTGTTTCAGATTTCTTTTTTTGTTTGTTTTGCAGCTTTTCACAGAAACATAGGAAATAATTAGCATCAGTAGAGTTAAAATTAGTGCTGTTCCTCTGAACTATTTGTTTTCTTGCCCTAGAGGGAAGACAGATCAGTACACAGATCTGATTTCATCTTCATTAATCATCAGCTGTCCTTAGGAGATATTGGCAAATACTGTTAGATTGAATTTTCTTACTCTTGCCTAATCATTCTAACACTGTGCAACCCTAGTAAAATCCAAAGCTGATTTGGGGTTATTTTGGGCGTGGGGATGAGGGAGGAGTGGAAGGTTTGATTCCAATCTATTGGCAAGAGAAAGACATTACTTTGCCTCAAATTGCAATTAGAAAAGCAAAACATGAAAATGTTTGCTTTTGAAAATTAACTTCTTGTAAAGTATAAAATTTTGCCAAAATAAGGAAGACCTTTATATTGATACAGATTATTACATAGCTAAGTTCCCTGATTGCCATCTAGATGCAGCTGCTTTGGCAGCACAGAGCAAGTCCTCCGAGGATATCATCAAGTCCTCCAAGTTCCCAGCAGCTCATGCACCAGCACCCAACGAGATACCAAAGATTGAGACAGAACACTGGCCAGGTCCTCCCTCCCTTGCGGCCATAGGTATGCAAAAAAAATAATTATACAAGCGATGCGGCTTAAAAGGTACTGGTAACCAAAGTAGATTAATTTTGGAGCTGTAAAAATGGGTAGTGAAGACTGTGTCCGCTCCAGGTGCTCGCTACAGAGTACAGTTATTCTGGTGAGACCTCCAAGTGTGAGTTTAAAACTATTGAAGAGGCTTTGCTAAAGGACTTTGGAATTGATCACAGAGATATTAACCTATAGACAAATTATGTGAAATCCCATGCAGTAGCTTAAAAAATGTGGTGTGTCACACAAGCCTGACTTCTTTCAGTTATTGTCTATTTAATCTTTTAGTCCTAAGATAATAGCAAATATTCCACAGAAAATATGATTGCTTCCAACCACATGACTGTTTTCATGGCAAGAAGCAATGACTGAAGTGGAACAGTTAATGGACTAAAAAAGCCCTGATTTTCAGAGTTACTGTTTCTACAGACTTTGTATTTTTCTTCTGTGTTGTTGCACCACAGGTATCTCATTTTCTTTTCTTTAAATCACATGTATGATCATTTTTAATTTTTTTTTGTTTCTTATTTTTTTTTTCTCTGTTAATTTTTATTGACTCCCATAGCGTAAAATAAGCTATCTGGATGCGTTCATTTATGAAGTCATGTCTGAAACACTGAAGGTGTTGCCTGTTTCAGGTTTCTGTGAAGGAGCGTATGGTTTTCAGCGCAATGGGATATTCATAGAAGTGCTGGGAGAGGAGACGCAGGGTGGGAGAGCTCAATGACCAATTGAAGGGGCTGCATATGCAGTGGCAATATTTTGAAAGTGTCCTTTATATAGGATTGCAGCCTGACATACATAACAGTCACAGTGATAACATCAACATACTTGAAACTCCTGACAATGCTTATGGTAACTACAACATTATTATGCTCTGTGTCTGAGGCAGAGCCTCTGTTGGAAATTCTGGCTCTCAGCTCCGTCTTTAGGTAGTGGATGACAACTTCTAAACCAATAAACCTGCTTTGTATATTGGCTATCAGGTGATTTTGTTACACCTTAGAAACTAAACAGGACTGTTTGGAAACTGTAAAGGTAAAAATGTGCTCACGGATGTATTTTGTTCAGATATAAAAAGGTATCACACAAGATTAATCACTAAAAAACAAACCCACAAGCCCCAGGTTTTTCGGCTTGTTGTCTGATTTTCTGAGCGTGATATTTTGCTTACAGAGCTAGAATGAGTTCAGCTGTCAAAAAAATGAGTATTACTGCTATTGTACTGAAAAGTCTTGCAAAAGCCTGAGACACCAAACAAAATAATAAGTAATTTAAATACAAGCAAATAATTTCTCCGTAACTTTTTGTCTCTCTCCATATTAGCATCCCTGTACAAAACATTGAATTGATATAAACCTTCTGATACTACAGTTGCAAAATTCAGTCTTCATTCAGATAAAACAATGAGTTTGTCTAGCATAGATTGGTGAATAACTATATCAGGATGTAGCTTGTCTGGAAAAAATACAACTGCTGTCTAAATACTTGTAGCAATTTCATATTCTATGTATTCATGGCAGTGTCCTCATGTCCAAATTGGACCCTTTCTTAAGACTATTCAAGAAAATAAAGATTATTCAATAAAAAGTAAGAAACTAATGTAGAACACAAATTAGTTTGCTTCATTTTAGACTAAAAATAATGCCTTGTTTATTCCAAATACGAGCATCCATTTAGGAAATGAATGCAGTTTAATATTCCATTTGAAGTGTTAATTCAGATTCGCTTTTCTGAGTCTGGATAAAAGTATAAATGTAAATCAGATTTTCTGTTTTCAATCATGGGTACAGTTACTGGTGCCATTAAACCACATGTTTCCAGAACTAGCAATCTGAGCCCCTTTTTTCTATTACATTGGCTCATAGCTTGTGTATCCAGGACTGTCGCTTGGCTGGGTACCCACATGCAGTTTAACTTCCTGTTAATTTTATAAGAAGCCTGATAGCCATAGGGCAGGCTATCCGAGTGAGTTTTATTAAGGGTGATTTTTGAAAAAGTGTTTTGAGTCTGCAAGAAAATACTGCTTTGTTTATTCAGTAAATCAAACTGACCAGTACTTTCTAGCACTGAAATCTTCAAGCTGTGGTTGAACTGATACACAAAGCTCTCTCTGTACTCTGGTTTTATGGAAGCAGGAGCTGACATGAGACGCAGATCAAGCGGAAGAGAGGAAGATGATGAGGAGCTACAGAGACGCCGGCAACTGCAGGAGGAGCAGCTCATGAAGGTGGTTTTAAGCTTGTCTTCGTGCTGTTTCTGAACACCATCCAAAAAGTCCTCCTTTGTTTTCTGTAAGCAATTTGTACTAATGCCTCGATCAGCTTTATTTGGTTGATAATATTTTTTTAATTGCCATTTTTAGCTCAACTCTGGTCTGGGACAACTGATATTGAAAGAAGAGATGGAAAAGGAGAGTCGCGATAGGTCGGCCCTTTCTGCCAGTCGTTACGATTCTCCAGGTAATTCATGTAGGCAGTAAAGCTAATAATGAACGGTGAATAATGAACACCACATACACACATATTAAGCAGTCTCCCAGAAGAGAAACCACTAGGAAGATCGCTTGATATGTGTATATGTGATGTTCTCCCCTGAAAGAGTGGCCTAATTCATTCGCTGGTTTTGGTGAGGGGAGGAGTGTCATAGTTGTTTTTTAATTAGAAGAAATATGAGGTTGAGGATTTTCAGGCAGGAGAGAGATTTTTCTAATGTAGACAAGGAGTGAGGTAAAATATTCAGTGACTATTACATCGCACATACGCTAATAGGCTGGGTTATTAAATTACTGGGTTATTAAATTACAATAACATGTTGTGCTTAAACTGGTGGTTCCTATCACTGTTTAGTCTCTCCTCCCAGGGACGGAAAATCAGCAACATTTACCAGTGGGGATGCATATTCCAAACACAGCCAGTGTTTTGGCCTTGGCTGACATTTTGATCACAGGTATTCTGTTCCAGAGCAAAAACACAAAAGTCAACTTCAGTCAATTGGTGGCTTAGATTCTTGGCCTCATTGCACATTTTGATAGACATCTGTGGCCTTCTCAGATCTCCAAAGGAGGGTTTGGAGGTTTTATTTCACTCTCTTCATCCATCAGTCATTGTAGCACAGGAACTGTACTTCGAGCCAAGAAGGGACAAGATGAGTCTCTTTGGAGTCATCCACTGGAGTAGCTGCCAAGCAAACTAAGATTTCCTCGTGTTCCCTGTTGTATAAGCGTGTTGCCTCTGTTTGTGGTCTTGGAGAGAATGCCTGTGGCTCTCCCTCACTACCTGTAATGTTTACAGGGTCAGAGTCTACCTGCTCAACTCAAAGCTTATGATTTTCTTACTAACCTTAGCACAGGTTGGAGGACTCCTTTACTGGAGATGTGTCCATCCCTCTTTGCAGTGGTAATCAGTGCAGTCATCAGTTGCCTTTTGTGGAATCAGTGGTACATTTCCCAAAGCTGCTTGTTGCTGGCAACAACAGTGCCTCAAGTTCTACATTCCCTGCTCTTCAGTGGTAAAAATAACATATAAAAAACCAAAAATTGTATTCTTATATGGAGGATCTTGTCTGAAGGGGCTGTATTAACCGTGGAGGTGCTATTGATCATTATGCTGGCAATCTTTCTATTTATCCATCTTTTTATCTGTATTCGAAAACACACCCTTGACATTTCCACATTATCTTGCTCAAGCAATTTCTGAGGTCAGTGCAAATACTAAGTTGAATGACCCCAGATACCTTATTACACTTTCATTTCAGATGAAAGCAGGAGTCACAGAGGTCTGTTGAATCATGTCATGCTCTCAGAAGTGTCACATCGTGGACAGGATAACTATAATTTTGGAATGCCAAATTCTCAAACTTGTTTGAATTCACTCAGCTCTGCCCATTCTGGTCGTTCTGGTGAAGTCAGTACCAAAACATCTTTCAATTACAGTGTTACAGGACCAAAATTAATAGCCTTTTCTGCTTTGTAACAAAAAATGTCAAGCTGAAACATGTGAATACAGAGAGAATGGAGTGTGCTAGTCATATGTATCTTGGCTTGTGCGGCAGCAGAACATGGGAGCATAAGTGCAATAATAGTTGCAGTAGGAAGGATAGAAAGGAAATTCATGAAAGGTTCAGAGGGTATGATGATATACAAACCATGTGTGAATGGACCTGCATGGGAGACTTAACAGGAAACCTATCCAGTCAAACACTGCTGATCTTTGGATTCTCCTTGTCCTTTAGCTTGGTCCCATCATAAGGTGCACAACAATACTTTATCTAGCTAAGGACTGAAAAGTTATTTTGCTCTCTTGTCTGATCCTTGAACATTAGTTTCAACTCAGTGGAGATCACTTTGATTTTGAGCCTGGAAAAATCAGTGTCCCTTCCTGATGACCTGCCACCATGGCATGATAAAGCTGCGTGTAACTTACAGAATGTGTGGAAGGTTGTGATGAGTCTGGGGCTGAGATGTTAGTTCCTTAAAGGCAGTGTGTCTCAGTTGGTTATGTATATGCTTAGTTCTTTCAACTGTGTTTTTTGTGCTAGTTGATTCGTCAAATGTTCTTGGTTTTGAGTTTCCATGGGGTTTTTCCAGTAAAAGATTTTTCCCTTCCTCATTCAACAGCACATGCTTCAGCCTCCAAAACCTCTTCTCTCCCTGGCTATGGAAAAAATGGACTTCACAGGGTAAGGAGATGGTGATTTTGAGAAGTGAAAGGTAGCTTTAATTATCCATGGTATTTATTTCCGTATTAAGTGTATTGGACTTTCAGTTTGATCAAGCTTTCTTATAAGACCATCTGAAGTCAGACAAAACCTAATTTTCCTTCCCACAAACTACATTGTTAAAAAGGCAAGAAAGACATGCAAGAAATGTGAAAAATGAGGCAGGGCAGGGGGGAGGGCTTAAAGCAATTCGTTACTCCCCATATACCAACCTGCTTGTGAAGTCATGAACTATGAATTTAGGTGCATGTCCCTCTTTTCCTGTTACAGCCGGTGTCTACAGATTTTGGTCAGTACAACAGTTACGGGGATGTGAGTGGTGGTGTTAGAGGTAAGGCTGAGGAGCCTTTTTACATGCCACTTCATTACTGAACGTTATGATGTTTGATCATTTCTGCTGTTTTATATTAAGGTTGTGGATATGGTTACTTTGTATTTGCTCAGTACATTTTAAACTTCTGGTAAACTCAACAATTAACTCAAACTGCAAATGCCTATTAAAAAGTTAGTTTATTTTGCTAAATCTGCTATGAGGAGCTGATCCTTGTTTATGCCAAGGGACTGCTTTAGCATCGGTGCAAATGGAAAGCAGGTAACGTGTATATTACCAGGAATATGTACTGAGTTCTGTTACGCTGTTTTCTTTCTCTGAAAATTACCATCCATTGCACAGTCTGAAAGAATGTGCCACAGTGAAGAAAGGAGGAGGATGCCTTCTAATCCCCATTGCTCCTCATGATTTCTGCTATGACTTTGAGCTAGATGTGATATCAGTCATTGCCTAATAAAAATTGACAGTATGAATGTTATGAAACTCTGAGAGTTAATGTTTTGAAATGGTTTGAGCTGAGAGAGAGAGGCTAGTTATCTCCAAAGTGAGACTGACCCCGACTATCTTAGATACCCTACGGTATCAGGCATCTACTGTTGGTGCTTTTGTCTCTCTATAGACTATGGCAGAGGTTAGGTGAGGTGAATCCTGCTCTACACATTTGAATTTTAGTTGGCTAGTTATTCACTTGATTGTGGTTTTGCGTCTCTTAATATTTCCAAAGTGACTTGGTTTTCCTGAAAGAGAAGCCTGCTCAAAATGAAAAAGGCTGCAATGTTTGGAGTGCTTGACTCTTTACAGTAAACTAAGTCCAAGGTAGGAAGGTTGCTGGCCTTAGAGAATCAGGTAGGATTTTGAAAAGATCAGGTAGACGAGAAGACACAAGGATTATGTGGTAGATTGTGACTGATTCGTGTTCTTCCATACTCTAAAGCTGATGAGATTTCTCTTTTGCTTTTCAGATTTCCAGGTAGAGTACGGGTTTTCATCAATCAACTGACAACAGAACTAAAAGCATCTACTTTCTTGTTGAAGTTTGAATTTCTGCTACAGGGAAGGGTTTCTTAAGACCATAGCTTTGATTTTCCTGCATGTTTAAGCATAATCACCAATGTAGACTCTAATCAACAAAAAACGGGCACAGCCTCACATTCTTCCTTGTTACCTCCCCAGAGCTGGGTTGAGACAGTTCACACCAGTTCTGTGACTTGCTCTGTAAAATCCACTGTCTGTTGATACTATCATGAGTTATCTGTGGTAGTCCTCCCTGGACAGCTGATGGTGGATTTATTTCCAGCCTCTCTAGTACTGATCCCAGAGACATACAGAAAGTCTTTTCTGGAGGCAATTTTCTCCAGTACCAGGAGCCTTGAATTCCTCATTTTTATCCTGGAATTTGCTCTCCATACAAGATGGCTGATCAATAGTTTTCTACAGTGCTGCCATCACAGATGAGCCAGTGCTTGCAAATATAAACCCTTTTACTTCAAATCCTGTCTGCAGGGCTTTTTTCCAGAATGGTTTGAGTCTGGCTGGCTCCTCAGCATAATCACAATATGAAATGGCAATTTAACAATGGGTTTAATTACTTGGATAATTTTCTTAATGGTGTATCAAAATCATGATGATTGGAAAGAGATTATGGGAGGAGAGAGGATTTGTGGATGTATTGTGCTCAAAATGTTAGTTCGTTAGGAACAGTACCTGTGTCAAGACAGAACCTTGTTACCCTGTCCCTGTTCATGTTCATAGTAAAAATTTCCCATTGTAGAGACAAAAAAAACCCTCAGCTGATACAGTGAGTGACAGGAAGGACAGCCAGAGGTGTAAGAGTGCTTTGTATGCTGTTGGGTGGGATCTGAGTTAATGCTTCTGCCTATTTGTCCAGAGAAGAACCCTACCTAGTCACTGGGGTGCGAAAGGGCCGACCACTCTCTTGGGGTCCCCAGGTCCACCTGGGAAGTGATGTTGTAGGCTCAGTGGGGAGCTATGGCCAGCCTTAGCAGTGACAGAAGGCTGTGGTGGCAGAGAGGATTGAAGGATCCCTCTGCATGCCTCAGATAAGTGGTAAACAGTAGCCATGGCAATGATCTATATGATAAGACTAAATATTAAGACTTGAAGGAAGTCTCAGGGCAAATTCACCTTTGTTTTCACCACTGCTTTAGTGCCTTTACCCTCTGTGTGTGTAACCTATGTGTCTGATGTATACCTGTATCTGATGCAGTCCCTTCCGGATGGCCATGTCCCTGGAATGAGAATGGACAGAGGAGTATCTATGCCTAACATGTTGGAGCCAAAGGCAAGTGCAGATGTTATTCACTTTCCTTCAAGACAGTTTCACAAGATTTGACTGTGAAATGCAGATAAAATACGGGGAATGTCTTAGTTCCCTTGTTTTTCTTTACCTCACCTCAGTCCCTGCTCCTTATGTGCTAAACCTCTCCCTTTGTTCTGGACTTTGCCTGTTACAGGTGTTAGTACTCAGGCAGGCTGAGGGCAGCCCAGGTGTACTTCTTGGGTTAAGGAGGCTTTTCTGGAGACAAAACAAAGATACCGAAGATGCGCAATAGCTAGTGCTCTGTCAGGCTTTCACTAACCAAATAGCAGGCCAAACGCGATGGGGAAGTCTCAGATATGTCAGGTTGGAAAAGTGATGCAGAATATTGTGGCTCACAATGCACTGTTGAGGCTGTCTTAATTTAAAAACTAAAGAAGTACATGGATCTTTGTTTCAAATTGGAAGTTAGATACCTACATGTCTGTCTGGATCTGTTCTTTAGCTCTCAGCCCTGTTAGCCTAACACCTCTCAATAATGTTGAATTCCCTATGTACGGAATTCTTCAGGAGATGTTCTGGAAAAAGAGGCAATGTCAGCTGAATATAATTTAAGATATAAATTAAAATGCTTTTGCAGCTATGTCTAGAGATGTCTGAGTCAAAAATGAGCATAATATATATAGTGGGAATTCAACCAGGGCTGTGTTTTAAATCTTATAACTTTATTGCTGGTGAACCTTCCAAGAAATCATGATTTTGCTGACGTTACAAGGATCAGCGTTTCTGCAGTTGAGAAGCTCGTTTTGCAAACCAGATTACTACTTGTTCTTCCGAGTCACCTCCAGACAAACTGTACAAGGCAATAAACCTAGCTTTATAAGCTGAGACCCCAGTGCAATGTATATTAACAAGTGGTTTTATATATTATATAAATAAGACATTGGGGACATCCCCAGCTCCTGAGATACTACTTTTTATTCCGAATAATTTCTCTGTCAGTGCAATAGAAATTCTTACAGGCACCACTGCTGTTGATGCACCCAGTGATTTGGAATGTTATTTTGGGTGACAAATTCTGTCAGTATTATTAGTGATAAAATTTATGGGGAATTTTCGTGAGATAATAGGTCACTTTCTGTTGATGTTTATAAAGGCGATGCCAGGCCCTCAGCTTGTGTGAATTGGCAGTATTTTTATTCACGTCAGTGGTCCAACACTAACTTAAACCTGATAAAGTAGAAGAAGCCGACTCAAAGGCTACGTGAAACACGTGAAAAGTGAAAATTAGTAAACTTAAGAATGACCAAATCTTACCAAATGGTTCTCCAGAAAGGACAGAATTTGTGCATCCTGACACCCCAGATTGAGACATGCCTTGTTGTGAATATCGAAATATAAAATGTACTTATGACCGTAGACCTTGACTTAAACTCTGCCTGTTTAAATATGAAAAGTTACATTTTAGTTTCCTATAATGCTGTACATGGTAGCTGTTTCCAGTATCAAACATAAACAATGTAATTCAAAGTATGAACTTAATTGTACAATTGTGACAATGTCAGAATCTCCTAAGAATCACATCTTACAATTGGTATGTAAGCACACGTTATTTAAATTATTACTTACAATAAACTCAGTGGTGTGTTCATTGATGCCTGAATCTTATTTGTTATATTGAAAAGTTAATTGGTATAATTGTTGGCAATGGAATGAACTCAATTGCGTAGTTCTGCACAGAAGTTGATTAGGTTGAATTTCTTCTGATGTTAAAATAATTGAATTAGTAGCATTTGATAACAGCTCAGCTGTCTCTTCAGGAGAGTTTTGGTGGTCTCACTCTTGTTCCCAGTGGGCAAGTAAAACAAGACCCATAAATAACAGTAAAAGCTGAACCAATCCCCACTGAAGTCTACAGAACTTAATTGACTTCAGTAGGGGCTGGATGAGGACCTCCCTGGGAATGCTGTTACCCTACTCTGCAGAGACATGCAATGAGAAGGGCTGTAGGGAAGGCTCTGTCAGATGGAACGTGAGCTCTCCTTGGTCATTCCAGGCATTCATGGAAGTGTCTACCCAAGGAAAAAAAATCCTAAAACAGAGTTTAATTGCCAGGGATGATTCCAGAAACTGATTTTAAGGCACACGGTTTTCTGAAATCCTTTCTAAGCAGCATTGTTTCTGTTGGATTAAACTGATTTGAGACCCACTGACAGTAAACATTTTACTTAAAACAAAGAACCTGTAAAACAGAAGTAAAATCATTTATGCATTCAGTAATTGGTTATTGGCCAATAACTGATTTGTGTAAGTTCTGGACATTCTTTGCAATGTAAAGGGAAAGCAAGGGAAATGTTAATGGGAGGTGTGCTGGACACATACTCTTCTGAAGTAGATGAAGGTGTGTAAGACAAATATGTCTACAAAAGTATCTCCTTTAACTCATGTATATATTGCACAGCCAGCAAGCACAGTGGGCAGTTGTTTGAATTCTTTAACAAAAAGGCAAAGAAAATCGTGATGAGTTTTGATGAATGCTGTGGCCCCCACTAATCAATATCTCACTTACTCAGAGTTGCTGCTTTTTCTGATGTGCTTTCATGTGGTTCATTTTTAAAAGTCCACTAAGTGTCTGTTTCCTTAGAGCTGTCCACACTTTGGCAACCATCAATTAGACCGATGAGTGCCAAATATATTTACCTTAATAAACTCTTAAGTTTATGCATTGCTGGATAAGAAGGTATATTGACTAGAGATGACTGTCCGACCAAAGTCAGCTGTATTATATGCACCATAAAAATCAGCGGGGTGGGCAAGTGGCTCTACAATATGAGGCAGTTTGATACTAAACAAGTTCCTGCTATGTCCAGATCAGCTTGTTTTTTCATGCAACTTTAGGGGACAAAAGTGCTGTGATTTCCTTTGGAAAAGAAACCAAATGTTTGTGTGGTTATGAAAATGAGACACATTGTGTTCTTTTTGCTTTAGAATATAAATACATCTCTTTTTCCCCCTTTTATACATTGTTAACAGATTTTTCCATATGAAATGCTCATGGTGACCAACAGAGGGCGAAATAAAATACTAAAAGATGTAGACAGAACCAGGCTTGAGGTAAGAGAAGCAAGTTCCTAAATGCTCTTTCTTGCTGAAGTTCTTTGTTGTTGCACCCTTGAAAGCTCAAACACTGAAGTGTGGGTCCTTGTTAGACTGGGGAGATTTCTTGGCACTAAGCAGGGAAGGAGGAGTCAGACAGGAGGAGGAAGCAGCCACATCTCCATGAACAGTGCTGGGCCAGGAGTCCCACATCTCTGTCTCCCTGCTCCTGGATGGAGCTTCTCACAACTCCCGTATGTTTTCAAGCAATTAATTATATACTTGTAAGTTGGTAAAAAGCCCAAAACCAGTGAAGTGTTTTGTAGTCATAGGATCCATATTGGAATGGAGCAATACTTTGTTTAATCTTGGATCATTTCTTAGCTAAGAGTCAGTGTCAGCCATCCTTGAGGATCAAAAGTCTAACTTTTTAACTCATCCATGAGTCCTGTGAGTGAGTTAGACTGGCTGATATCAAAAAGCATGAGGATTTAAATCTCTGCCAACAAATAAAAATTGTTTACAGCTTTGTGGATTAGAAAGACTTAAGCAGCCAAGTGGAAGGCTGGGGCTGTTTTAGTCATTTGTAGTTAGTTAATCATCTGTGGAGATGAATGGAAGGGGCCACAAAAAATTGGGTAAGTAACCATTTATCCACGTTTTTAGACTAGTAGATATGTGATCACTAGAATTCAACACTGTGTTACAGTAGTGCCACGGGGGAGACATTTTCCCCATCCAGTGCACTCTAAAGCAGCTGAACAAGAAGTAACTTGTGCACAAGACAGCACCAAAAAATGTTTCATTGGCAGTAGAGAAATGTGCTGGACATTTAGTCTGGCCAGATATCTTCCTTCTCAGAACTTCAAACCTGCAGCCCTTCTGCAAAGCTCTCCTGTGTCTTTTTGAACTTCCATATGTACGCAGAGGTGACCAGCTAAAGCCTGGGACAGGGGCGTGCAGGAGCTGATTTTGTTCTTTGGTCTATCACTGCTTGTTGGGTGACCAGACAAACCATTTTTCTGTTTCTTGGTTATTCAGCAACTGAAATAGTTCTCCTGATTTCCTTTGTAAACTCCTCAGACTTAACAAATTGCAAAATTTTATTGATTCATTGAGCACCTGAGTTCATGAGGACTTGGATATGTGTCTTGCCAAAGCAGCATTATTTCCTGCAATGGCTCTTACACAGTGACATGAAAGACATGAAATCCCTAAGGCACTCCTATCTCCCGTTGTGTCTCTTTGGCTTTGACTGACCATTGCCTTTTCTCTCTCATTTCCCCCCCCCCCCCCCCTTTTTTTTTTTTTAAAGCGTCACTTAGCACCTGAAGTTTTTCAAGAAATATTTGGGATGACGATACAGGAGTTTGACAAGTTACCTCTCTGGAGACGCAACGACATGAAGAAAAAAGCAAAACTCTTTTAATCTCCCCTCAAACAAACCAACAGAAAATGATGCATAGGATATTGTATCATACAGTCCAAACTATTTGGAAGCAACTACTTATCCACCAAAAAGGGAAAATCGCATAGTGGCACCTCTGTATACAGCAATTGAACAAGATGAATGTTTGCCCTCCTGGAACACAGGGAGAAAATATCTGGGCTCAGAAACAGCAGTGATAGTTTTCAGAGGTGTCAACCTGTTACATGATCTTATACAAGATAGGAAACTGTTCTGTTCTTCTCCCTCAATGATATTCCCTTTACTTTTCTCCACAACATGATGGACTTTATTGCTAGAGCCAGGAAGTGCCCTTAGGATGCCTTGTAGACTAAAGTAGTTGTAACCACTCCAAGAACTGGAAAAGAATATATATATATA